GGCCGGGATCCGCTTCAGCTGCGGCGTCTCAGTATACCGCGAGCTGCAGCTCGCGGTATACTGAACCTAGGGTGACGGGAGGACGCTAGTTTGTGTCCTCCCGTTACCCTAAGGAGAACTATGGGGAAAAGTGTTAACCCCATAGGTCTCCTTTAATTAGATGAAAGCTTGATACCATCATTCTAAACAATAGCCACTCCAGACAAGGTGAGTGCTGACATTAACATTGGGAGGAGGGATAAAAAAAATTGACTTTAATGTCACTTTAACCACTTCCAGGCCGCAGTACGTCTATAGACCGTGGCCTGCAGAAGTGGTTAAAACAAGAACACGGCTGCTTCGGCAGCCGCGCTCTTGGTACCGCTTTTATCAGCAGGCGATTGCTGTATGACTTACAATTGGGGTGTGTGTGGTGGGTGGGTTTGGGGGGGGGGGGGGGGGCCAAAAAAAAATCTTGCACCAGGGCCCTTTGTTCCTTAGCTCCGCCACTGGGGGTGATCCTGCCCATCAAATGCCACGCTCCAGGGAAATATCACTTGCATATGGAGTGACACTTTAAACAAAGCTCATTCACTCGCCGTGTACCAGGCACCAAAAATAAGCCTGCAAGGTTAATGGACTCATTAAAAATTCACAAGCCCCATAAACATAGTTATTAATAAAAATAGCTCAGGATAATTACGGATGGGTCACACCTTTCTGCTCCAGCCTCTCTGCATGCTCAGAACAAAGTACAGTGAGGCTACGGTGCCACTCATTTACACTACAAAGGGATGACCTCCCCCCCCATATGTATCCATCCTGTTTATTGGGGCTGCAGGAGCTGTAATGTTCTCATTAATAGGATTATAAAGGCTTTTTGTATGAGTTGTGCACTGCGACACAGAAAGCTGGATTTTACAAAGAATGTAAGCAGCAAGTGATTCCTTTAAAGGGCAATTCCAGGCAACTGTTAACGCTCAATGAACCGCTAAGACTATCCAGCAAATGCTGCAACTGTGCTGAATTCCGAAACTCTATTCAGTTTCTAAAAGGGAGTTACTGGATGGGATGGCCCTGTGGGATACTCATACATTTTTCACAATGCTTCTCTTCTCTTCCCTTCACCTGTGTTCTATCAAAGCTTGTGACTACGTTAGAATGCGTCAACGGTGACGTGGTCCCACATTTTAACGTGATCCCGCCCAGTTTTACAGAGGTGGAATGTGGGACCGGTCACGTGGTCACACATTCAAACGTAATCACGCCCAGTTTTTCGGCGGTGGAATATGTGACCGCCAATAAATCAAGAATTCCAAAGCTTTCTCACCTGTTCCAGAGCAGATCGGCATCACAGATGGTATGTGCAGGAGAAGCGATTTGCCCTGGAACAGCTGATCGGTCCTGAAATGTCACTTCTATCCGACTTTGTGAGTGCGATCTCACATTCCACAAAGTCGGATAGAAGTGACATTTCAGG